TGTCTTGTCCCGTCCTGGCTCAGCGACTCCTCCCGGCAGCTCCGGCCACTGCCACCTCGACGGCCGCCATGACACCCCTCCCAAACACCATCGAGTGCGGCAGCCCGGGCTAGAGCGCCGCCTCGGAAGCGGATATGGCGTGTGGGCGGAAGAAGAGGATGCCGGGATGGTGGCGGAGTAGCGCGGGGCTGGGGGGACGCGGACAGCGGCGCGTGGCGGCGTGAAGCGCCGTGTGGTTTTCGGGAGCTCGCCCGCCGGGATCAACCTGGGCCATTAGCAAAACACTGTGCTGTGCAAGGAATTAGACACGGTTTGTGTTTGAATATGTGTTCTCACAAAACACACAAGATTCTGAAGCCCCGGCCGCATTTGCTGTACGTGGAGAGGACAGGGAAGGGAAGAGGCGACTGAGGGGACCTAATCGGTATCTAGCAGAGTCTCAAGGAGAGGTGCCAAGAGGCTGGGTCCGGGCTCTGCTCGCTGGTGCCCAGCAACAGGACAAGGTTTCTGCAACCGGCAGAAACTGATGCACAGGGAGAGCCACCTGAATATCAGGAAAAACTTGTTTGCTTGTTTACTTGTTTCCAGTGCCTGCACATTGGAACAGATTGCCCAGATAGGCTATGGAGTCTCCCTCACTGGAGCTACTCAGGAATCATCGGAATTCTGTGCAAGGCGCTGTGGGATCACCCTGCTTGAGCAGAGAGGTTGGACCTGATGACCGACTCTGGTCCCTTCGAACCTGACGCATTCTGTGATTCTATGTGGTATTTCCTGCCAGAACCCCAAAACTGCTCCAATTCAAAGTTCTTTCTGTTTTTGATCAAGTGAGGTATTTAAACTTGGGACTACAACGAGTACTGCACTGTTACAGAAAAAGCAGTTTTGTATTAGAATGATACTGTTATAAAAAATGCTGATACTGGGAAATAAAATACAGGACAGCTGGCTCATTGCCCATTTCAAATCGATAACTGTAAAAAGATGCATAATTAAAGAACGACATCAACGCCAAAATGAAGCTGAGAAGAGCATTTCATGAGTAAAATCTTAGATTTTTAGAAGTCTGAGAATGCAGCAGGCACAAAACACAGGCTCTAGTTACACGCTGCCAAACATTACTGGACAGTCATGAACAACCTGCTTGTTGCTTCCCAAACAATCTTGCAGAGCCTTGGGGAAGGGTTCCTGACTGGCCTGCAATACTGTATTACCTTTTAGCTTTACTGGCCTCTGCCACTCACAGGCAACTCTAAGGCTGGGCATGGTATGTGGTCCAGAAGTTTAGAAATTAAAAGTTCTCTAATAAAGGTTGTTTTCCCTCTTCTTCACTAAACAATTTTTAATGGAGATGAAAAGTTTACAGTGCTCGAAAGACCCTTTATCATTGGTTTAACAAAACCCATATGGGTCCTCGTGAAGAGTAAAGATGTGTCATTTAGTGTTTGGCGAAATAATTTTTATGGGAAATTCTCTTAGCATTTTTCAACATCACGGATATTCTACAGACATTTAAAATATTTAGGAATGATAAAAATGTCTTCTATGGTGGTTAATTTTATAATACCAAGTAAGGCATATAGTCAATAAAGTAGCACAGAAGACTTTTGGTACCACTCTTTTTAATTACTACTGTTGCAAAACTAGAAACTATTTAGCATTAAAAGTAATTTTTTTAGCTGACTGACTTCATCCACTGTTAATAAGGGCAGAGAAAAATCATCCAGTATACTCTGTTTTGACTAAGCTACAAGAGCAATGCATTGTGTCACAGAAAGAATGAGTATTCTGTCAGCAAAGCAGGAAACTTCAGCTTACTTTAAAAGTTAGAAAGCATACCATTTTTAAAGATGTAACATAACAATAATTGGCACCAACTTCCTTAACGATAGTGTCTTTACACAACTTTTGGAGTATCAACAGATGCAAAGACATCAGAGATGATGAAATGTCAGCAACAGAAAACTATCCTACTGCTCAGTCTACACACCTGAGGTGCAAAGCCCACTGATACCAGGGACGAGATTTCAACGTTTGATGATTCTGTGCCCAATCCGCACATAAGGGAAAGCACAAAGGCAAATACTTAAGAGAGAAACATTAGAAGCTATAATCATATTTATTTAAAAAAGTGATATCAAATACAACCATATATATTCATGCCTATTTGGAGAGCATTTTCAAAATATCGAACAGTGCTGCCATTTTCCAGTCAAAACAATGACAAAGCATTTCAGCTTTCCCTTTTTAAATCTTTTCAATATTTATGCTTTATATACACAAAATAGGCAAAATTATACAGGAATCCAGAGCCAAAGATGTGATATGAAAACAGTTGACAAAAAAAATCTTATTAAGAATGATTTCTAAAGTACACAACTATTAGGCAAGAGATGAAAAATTATTCCCTTACAAAATCCTAACTCTACACTGATTTGTACACAAAGGGTTTCATGTAGCAAAAAATAAAATTTTATCAAAGCTGACATGCTTTAAAGACAAGATCAAGGTTTTTCTCTTCTATTTTATTTTCATTTAGCTTTTGCACAGTGGCATTTAAATATTACATCACTTTTTTCAACTCTTACAAGTCACCTCCTAAATTCACACAGTGGCTCTACTGAGGATGGGGGAAGATAAAAGAAAGGTGTAGGTATAATTATTTTTCTTAACAAAGTGTATAAGTATTTTGATTTGGTGAAAGTAGTTGAAGAGTCACATGTACTAACTGTTTGAAGAAGTGTAACTGGGGAAGGAGGTGACTATGGCAGGTTAAGTACTCCAATTCCCATCTCTGAAATGCAAATAAGGCAAAATGTGTGTATGAAGATTAAAAAAATTTATTGCAGAAGAGCTCATGCTTTTAAGATGAAAACCTGAATACAAGATAAAGCTACCAATTTTAAACTGAAGAAGTAATATTTGGACCTAGCCAGTTTGAATGTATTCAGTATTATTCTCACTTGAACAAGTGATTGTGTGTATGGAATAGGCATGTATTTATTACATGTTGGACTTACTTTCCTTTTTTTGGTAATGATTTTTGAATAATTATCAAGATTTTCCAGGACTTACGTTTGTTCTATGCAAGACAGTAATGGCTTACTATTAAGTGAACAACATAATTTTCTATCTAAGCCCTCAAAAAATGTTTCCACATCAGTTTTTCTTTTCCTTGGATTATTATTTCAATTCCTTCTAAAAGTGATGTGTTGGTAATGCAAATTTGTAAGTCTGAGTTCTAATTCTCTGATCATATTCCCTTATACTGTATTTTTCAGTACAAAGGCCACCATTTTTATGTTTTCATCATTATTTGAACCAATTATTAATACTAGAAAATTTCACATTTTAGACCTGTAACGTTCATTTTCAAGCCTCTCAATTTTGTAGTAAGACAGAGCAGATTGCAAATGATAATATTTGTCCACTAGACACCTGCAGAAGCCATTTTAACCTGCCCCACCATTCTATAAGTTTGTAATAGAAGCAATTAGACATTAGAAGGTATCATAGATTTAAATGTGTATTGTTTGTTTTCAAGTAGTCTGCAAAGTATAAAGTACGACAAGTAAGAAGAGTACCTTAGCTGAAAACTACACTTAAATTTGCTGCAGTTCTTTGAAGGGCACAGGAAGACTAAATGTTAAAGTAAGCCAATATCATATCATATTAGTTTCAGGTATAGAAAAATGTAAGCTTTTAAACAGCTCATATTTATACTTGTTGTGCCAAACAAGAAGTGCATGCAAGCATGACTGCATTACAACTCTTGTTCCTCTTGCCTGCACTGTAAGACCATGAAAGCAGTTTGCAGAATTATACTTAGAGAAGTAATTTTGGAAGATAGTTATTGTATCACTCACTCCCCTTGCTCGCTCCTTTGATTTCTACTGGCAGAAAACCATAATTTATGTCACATAGACCACTGGAAAATAGTAAAAATCTATTGAATGAATGAAGTCTGAAATTTCCTCAAATATAGTTCTATAATTAAAAAAAACAAAAAACAATGTCTGCTCCCTTACAATGGACTTTAGTCTAAAGCTGTAACATGGGAAAAAACCCAACCCTTCAGCTTGACAGGGCAGATAACACTGGAAGTACACTCTAAATTAGTAAATTAGAAGCATAGTTAAGCCACACTGAGAACTGGTTATCATTGAAAGAATGCACAACCAAGTGACAGCAGTGTTTTATTGACAGCTTCTTGGCAGGTCCAGACATTATGAACTTGAGACCTGGGTTATAAAATACATATTGTCAGCAATCAATATGAGTCTTTTCCTTGGGTACAGCTCAAATAGAGACCCTGTCACTCCCTACAAGTCCTGGAGGTTGTAGTGTGCTGGGTGTCAGCCTCTTCTCCCAAGTAACAAGATGAGAGTTTGTACCAGGGGAAGTTCAGGTTGGGTATCAGGAAGTATTTCTTCCCTGAAAGGGTTGCCCACCATTGGAACAGGCTGCCCAGGCAAGTGATTGAGTCCCCTCCCTGGAGCTGTTTAAAAGAGGTGTAGCTGTGGTGCTTATGAACATTACATTTAGTGGTGGACTGGGCTGGATTAATGGTTGGTTTCTTGGAGGTCTTTTCCAGCAACAGAGATACATGAATTAGCAGATGTATCTTCAATTGCTCTCTCATAACTGCTTGTCTAGATAGATATGCCTACATCATTCAGCTTGACATTTCTCTAAAAATCAGACTGGTATTTGTTGAGTGACAGTGTTTCTCCAAAGAAAGAGAAATGGTTGGCCGTGTGATCACTGACTCAGCTGCACCTTTCAGGAACTGACATTTTATATTCCTTCCATATTAAAATACTTGAATGATGAAATGCCTTATGATGTGACATGAACGTTCAAAGCAAACCTCCATGTTTTAGTGCTTATAAAATCATGTAGTTGGCCTGGGTTACAGTCAGTGAGATTTAAGGGGCTGAATGTTGTTTGTTTGTTTTTTTTTTAATATAGGGCTGCTAGAGCTATAGAAATAATAAAAATATTATGTTCTTATAATAGAAGATAAAAGATCTGAGTTCCAAGTACTGCCACCAGATTGTCAGTCTACACCTATTTATAAAAATGACTCCTGTTTCAGAATTAGTTTATGGCACAAACAGAAAAAAAAAAAAAAGCAGTGCTTAAGACACATTTCTTGCTTTCAGTTTCATAGAAATTTCAAACTGAAAGCAGAAAATCACACCCTCTAAAATACAGCATTTCAAAATGGCATACACACACATGGACTTTTAAAGTCATTGTTCAGCTATATTAACTTGAGACATTGCAAGTAATTATTATGTGCATGACAGGATTATTTTAAAAAGACAAAAATCAGTTTTTAAAAAGCAATGCTGTCTCATGTCAAAATCCATATTGTGTAACACATACCAGTGGTTCTGGTGACATTGGTGAAAATCCAGCACATAGATAAGAAAAACAGAATTTAGCCCAATTATGTATAATGTAATATCCTAAGCTATCAGGAAACCATTGCTGTAAACAGATCTTTACTGAGAGGTAAGAGCCCTTTCATGTACAGTACTACTTGATGCTGAATGTGTATTTCCATCTAGCTACCATTCATTTCCTACTAATTTTAATTAAATGTTACTATTGTGCAAAGATGTAACTTTAGAATATTTTGATAAAGAAATTTGGGGTTATCTTTGAAAGATTCTTAGAATGCCTGTGCTAACTGTTAATGCTTTAACTGGACTACAGCTTATATACTCTATCTACAACATATTTCCATATAATTTATATGTAAACAGAATTTGTATCTCAAGCACCATTTAGGAAAATGAAACATCTCTCTTCTGTTGCACTGAAGTTCAAAGTCAGGTTTGGTCATCCTGTTACACATTCATCCTGGATATCAAAGCAAATGTCTTACAACCAACAGCATAAGCTATCTCACATACTTTGTTTCCCAATTTTTCTCAGGATCAGAAACAACATAATAAAAAACTGTAAGGTGCGTGAATAAAGGCCATTCCTGAAAAAACTGCAACATTCTGACAGACACTCATAGAAAGCTTTTCAGAAGGAACATCCACACAGGCATAAATATTCATTCTTAAAAGAACTACTTGCACAGGGGTCATTTCAGATTGCAGGAATGCACCTTATGTATGTGGCACTGACTTTATGGCACCTAAATCCCCTCCTACTTTCTCCTAGACTCAGTTGCAGCTCTTTCATAATGAAAGGCCATAATGAAGGGTTGGGCTTGAAGAGGTAAAGACTCTGGGAAGAGGTAGAAGAGAAAACCTGTTCAACCCAATTGAGTATATGCTGCTTTTGTAGCAAAAAGACAGTGGCTTTAACAAGAAAGAACTAAGAAAACAATGATTAAAACCAAACAAGAACAATAAAACCCCAAGCCAAATAAGATATCTGCTAAAAGACAGTATGTTAAACACGGACCTAAAATTTTACAATTAGAATTGAAGGTAAGACCAAAAATTGTTAGAAAGTCAGAAATCACTGAGAGACTTAGAAGTAACATTATAGTCAACAATACACTGATAATTTTGTCTTGAATTGGAAAGTATGAAATTTAGGGATTATTGTTCCTCCTGCAGAATGGATCATTTCAAAATTAGACAGCAGGATCAAAAAGTTGACATTGAGTCATTCATAATAAACGATCACAATAAATTATTTAAGATGAATGGAATTTAATTACTCTCCCCATTTTAGAGTGATCTATATTAAAAAGAATTTATGAGCATAACTTATTACTTGTATCTGTTTTTCCATTAGTATTTAAAAAAATAACTTGATGCTGTTTTCAGCACCGTTTGTATCTTCTGTAGAATTCTTCAAAACAATTTAAACTTGCTTTTTTAATGCAAACTTAAAAGCTTTACTTTAAGTTACAGCTGCTACCCTTGTCTAACTTGGCATTAATAGTTCCAGTAATTTTAACACACTACTCTTGTGAGCAGAAGTTTTGTATTAGGAGTGCTACAGTTCTCTAAATTAGTGCAATCTTTTTTGTATTTGCAGATCCTCTCTAAACTGATCCCCAGAAACCCCCCCTTTCATTCCTGCTTCCAGAACTCTGAAATGAACCCTGCTTGTGCAACATTCACACAGTAGAATTTTAATGGAGACTTAGCGTTTTGACAATAAGAGGGAAAAAATGATGTTATTTCTCCTCTTCTGAATTCAAGTGGTTTCTAACAGACTCCAGAGACATATTCATGGCTGCTTGAAGCATATCTTCTTCGCTCATATCACCTCCTAAAGACAATACATGAACAGTAAGTTCACAGTTCTTAATTATAGTTAAATGCTTTTGTTGTTCCTTTCATCCACACCCACCTTTTCCTACCCCACCCACAAAACTGGAACATGGAACATTTTGCAAATAGTTTTTCACCAAAAGTGAGTTTGTAAAAATACACACCAATTTTGGATCACCAATACCTAAAACTGGTAACGTCTACACAGATTGTTCTGAAAACTAGTTCCAGTAGTTTTGTCAGATATTACTCCAAGTTGTCATACAACTTTAAAAGTAATTTAGAAAACAAACAGTTGGGGTAATAGCAATGCTCTTCACTTTGAAATAGGATATTGACATTCAAAGGGAGGAAGGCTTTTCAGGAAAGTGATCCTTTCCTTCACTGCCAAAACAGTAATGGCTGTAATACACAATCAGAATGGCTGCCAAAGTGACAAAGTCGGCAGACAAGGAAAATTTAGAAACACCACAAAGATGAGAAAGACACATTCCAGTGTTGGATGTAAGGTTAAAAAACAGTACCTGTGCCAGGTTCTGGAGTGCTTGAGCTAAGAGTTACTTTGTCCTGTAGATCTGGGGTCTGATCTTGCTGCTGTAGCTGTTGTTGCTGTCTGAAAGGATCATAAATTTTTAAGAAAATAAGATTAACATCAGTATGAGACCTGAATCAAGTTCACTTCATATTAGGAAGGCCACAGTCAGAAGTGGAAGCTGTTGTACAATAACACCCCTGTGCTCAAAATCCCTTTTGTCATTTCACCCTGCTAACCTTCAGATACTGATCTTCCCAGTACTATAGTCCAAGCTACAAGACTATTTTCCCAGGATTTGGAAGCTCTGCATTGTTATGCCACCATGTGAAGTCTAACTCCTCCCATCCATAGCATTTCTCCTTGGTCTTCCTCTATTACTATAAGATAGAGATAAGGAAAAGCTACAATAACTCAACTATCTAATAAAAAAATACACCAGAACAGTACATAAATACGTATAATGCTTTTGTGTGATGCACAGGAGAAGCATCATTACCGAAAGCGAAGTCTTAGAGAAATAGTATTTTTTGTTGGGAAGATAGTTGTGGAAATTTATAGGATTTAATTTCAAATACTTCTATAATGTATGTTTTCTTTCTTCACAAGACTTGCAGTAGTAGCAAGACTACTGCATTATTAACAAACACCCGCTTACTAGAGGTTTCTTTCTAGGAACCATCTGAGAACAGTAAATTCAGGTATTATTTGGAAATCATGTTAAGACAGAAAAGTTGATCTGGACCTTAGTAAGAAACCCATCCACACCCCAAAAGCACTGAAAAATACACCATGTACTTTCACGTGCAGTTTTCTATCAGCTACTTTACTTTTCAAAATATGCTTGTCTTCTCCTTCGCAGTTCTTCTGAAGAAAGGGAGTCTGTCTGACTGCTGTGAGACGACTGAGGAACATTCTGTGGTAATGAGCCTGAGAGCTCACTTCGACGACTACCTAAAAGCAGAACACGTCATATCCTACTAATTATAGTAAAATTAAATCAGTAAATTAAATATAACTAAAAATGTCTTCAAACTTGAGAAGAACAAAGAATTTTTGGAGAACTAAGCACCTAGTCTAATTTTGCTTCTCCTTACCTTAGGACTGTTTCCCTTTCCTCCTGCCAACCTTTACCAATTTGTTCTTCCTTCCTAATAATCAATACCACCATGCAAGCTACAGCTTTTCAAAATGCAGGAGGGAGATAGCTACAGGCAATCCTGGATTGTCCTTCCATGCCTCACACCAGTCTTTCCAGAGACATTGACACATGCTGGAAAAAGTGCCTGACTGATTCCAGGGGCTGCTTAAAGCACTGTAAGAAATTTAGATGAGCACTGCACCTTGCATGCTGAGCTGAATGGCTCTGCGAAGATCAGCTTCTTCATCCTCCATATCAATCTCCTGCCTACTTAGAGCAAGGGCTCTCTGGAAATTCTCTTCATCTTCATCTAACATGCCTGTTCCATCAAAAGGATGATTAACTTCTACTGCTTGGTCCACGTCACTTCTGGATAGCCTGTGATATTCATACATTCATAGCAAAATTCAGACAGAAATTATATTAGATTTTATCATGAGGTTTAAATTAGTATGTTCTGCCAATTTAACTCTAGGTTTAACTTAGGGAAAAATATTTTTCTTGTTAAAGTCTGTTATATAAACAAGTATTTTCCTGAAAAATACCAAAGCACTGCAAGCAACTGCAGAGCAACCTTAACACATATTTGCCACACACTGACTTCTAAAGCAATGCACACATTGACAAGAAGATGTTAGATAGTAAATTGCCAAAAATTGTAAGCCCACAAAAAGCCATGATACATTTTATTCAAACCTACTGCTATTTAAACAGTTACACCAGCAGAAAGGAGTGTATATGGTCTCTTTCTCAGGAGGCCTTGAAGGCTACACTAAAGCAACAGACCCATGTAAACTGTACACACTTTCCATGTTACTGCAAATTATTTCATCAATTTACAACATCTTTTTAACTTTACAAAAGGGAAGAAATAATTAATTCCTCTGAGAAGCCTAAACGTTTTTATCAGTATGCAATTTGTTCACTATGAACATGCAATGAAATCATTGCAAAAGTACATAAAGTACTACCTTTATATGCTTTCAATGATATTTTATATTAGCAGAAGGCATAAAAAATGAGCAGCAGCACAACGTTACAGTGAAATTATTCCAAAAGGGAATGCTGTATGATTTATATGATGTGGAATTCAAAGATCAGTTTCTCATTCTTTTCTACTTATGACAGAATGCACAAACCAGTCTTAATTATAGAATAGTTACTATTAACAATAGTTTATAAGATTTGCTAAACCATTTTCCTCCCTAAGTAAAAAATCTACACTATAATATGCTTATGCACATGGAAAGACTCAATCCTTATCAAGGCAGCTTTTACCTGCTTAAAAACACACCATTTGCTGTCTATCAACTTACTTTTACTGTGTGCAACAGCAGTAAACATTGAACTAAAGGTACTTATTATTTCCAAATTACAAACCAATCATACTGAACATTATTAAAATAAAATCTTTATTTACCTTACCTCTGATCTCTTGACTGTGCTGCCTCTTCTCCAATCAGTTTCGGCCGCTGCATCTGCTGTACCCGAATCATCTGCAGCAGCTGATCAGCCTCACAGTCTGGCAGGTCACCTTTTACTACAAATATGGAATAACCTGAGAAAAAGAAATCGTAAGTCTACAGCATTAAAGTGCAGATATAAACACTGTAAAATGCACACTATATGGAATACAATCATGTGCAATTTAAGATGTAAGACTCTACCTTTCACTATTTCAATCATAAAACTCAGGTAGTTAACTGAATACATAAGTTCTAAGAAATAATGATTATTACCTACTTTTAATTAATGAGATTTAACATCTGCAAGTTACTATTACCTTCCTGTTGTAATTGAGCCAAGAAAAGTGCAAGATATGTATCTGATATTAGTTCTGGACCCATCAAGAGAGAGTTCAAGTTAAACCACTGTAATTAAGAAAAAAAAAAAAAAAAAGATTGAGAGAACAAATTAGCATGAAGATTACTTGGTAATCCATTCCTGTACATTGTGGTAATTTTTTATTATGGAATATCTGAATAAATCTAGTAAAATAAATTATCAAATAAAAGTTTCTTGAATAGTATAATAGTATAATACTTATACTGTAATAGTATAATACTTATACTGTTAAAGGTTATCCTTCAAATACTCTAACAGGACATCTGACGTGTGGAAATTACTGCATGCTCTCTCCCATTACTGAGTACTGGTACCCGGGAAACACATTAAAACAGATAATCCTTAACCACTGTATTTTGATTTATTTCAAACATCATTCTAAAATTCTGCTTAATCCTAGTTTTAAACCTGAGACTAATGAAGTAAAAAACCCTTCATCAGTTAATGCTATGTGTTAAGAAACTAATAGATACAGGAAACAGACATTCAATAACTTCCATTAAATACTTTCATTGAATATTCTACCTTTAATAGCTGGTGATGCTGAAAACGAATGTTTACCCTTCTCTTAAATAATTTTTAAACTTAAAAATTAAGAAAAATTTACTCAAGTTTAATTGAGTACAGGACTATATTACAACAGGGGACACTTCATATAAACGTTCACAACTCATTTCTAGTTCCCCAAAGACCATAACTAGCAATTTATAATACTTCTAATACAGAAACAGTATCATACTTACATAAAACTTCCAGAGAGAAAATATATTCAATGTGAAACAAAATATTCTACCTTTAAACTCCCTATACATTCCAATGAAGCTAAAGAACTTTTTTTTAGACTTAACTCATTCAGTATTACCCAGTTTTAACCAGAAAGCACCATTTGAGTTAGTGGAAGGAGAATTCAATCTCCATTCTCCCAGAAATGCAACCTGATCTACCCAAACTTCCATATATGCACCCACACACTTGCAGCCAGGCCCATACAATAATATAAGTGACTATCTACCACCCTGTCATGCAATCACTTAATTTGACAAAAACACTCTTTGCCACTAGGAAAGGGTAAGAAGACCAACAGTGTAGAAGTGTAGGGGAAAAAACAGTTCTGTAAAAAACTTGATGGACAGACTACAGCAACTTTTAAAAGACATTATGGAAGAGAGAGTTTTGTTAAACTAATTTTGCTTTAACTGTAACAGAGGAGAAGCAGGTGAAATAAATATAAGTCAACCTATTTTGTCAAATCTTCTCATTACCCTTTAGATAACAGACAGCTAGCATTGTCTTCGCATGGTTACAAGCCAGGTAAAAAAGGAAAAAGGCATCCCCCCTCCATCTTAGGAAGTCCTTCCTAGGTTAGAATGCTTGCTCATAAAATTCCACCTAACATGTTTGCATTGTAGAATAAGGAGCATTTCCATAATTTTAAGAGAACATCCAGCCTTTTTGATATCAAATAAAACAAAAAATGCTTGTAAACATTAGCCATACTTTTAAACTAAAGCAGAACAGTAGAGTTTAGTTTTCTCACTCACAGATGATTTTTCTTTCTTTTTTAACCTGGATGACAATATATGCAGCCAGAACTTGCAAAAATGAACCAATTGGGCAAAAAGACTCCTGTCCCACTATTACAGACTCTAAAAGCTGTTTTCCATGAATGTTTTCTATGAAATAAAGCCCTGAAGAAACCAAACCAGCTCATGTTGTATAAAAGCTTATGAAGTATGATCCAGAAAAACGATTGGCTACTAATACAAAACACTAAATTGGTGTTTAGAGGGACATGGATATGAACTGATTTGGTACATATCTACCATATACTAATATGGCCATCCCTTACCTTTAGTAACTATTACCTACTTAGAATACAATTGTTTCAAATTTTTTTATAATATTACAAAATTGAGATTCTAATTCCCCAAAGTAGAATGGATACTCATTCTAATGGATACTCTTTTGAGTATCCATTACTATCCATCAAAACCTTGACCTTTTCCTTATATCTACTGCCCATTTAGACTAACAAAATTATTTTACAATACCAATATCTTATGGTATTAAAATAAGTTTGAATTCTGTAGGGATCCTAATCTTTGTTCAGGATTCCCTATTCCTCCCGACCCCCCAGTATAATTTTTCTTCAGTATTTCATGTAGGAAAAAAAAAAGAAAATAACTTAAGAAGTCACATAAGATCCTACCAGAGCCACAGCTCCCTAAAGGACAGATTCACTAGGGAACTGATCCTACCGTCTTTTCCCAGGCTAACATTTACAAAGACCTGCCTGGCATTTTTGTGATAAAACCAACATTTACCTTTTTTAAAATGTGGGCTACTATTAAACCTTAGTTCAGCAAAAGCTTGTAAAAGGGAAGCACAATCTACTTGCAACCGCTTTTCCACACCCATTTCTGAAGTAAATTTTAAAATAAAAAAAGACAGTGTCACCTGTTTTCCTAACTTTCGAACTGTAAACCAGTGTTCCTTATAATTACAAATAAATGATTTTTCATTTCTGTAAAAAGAAAAACAAAAGGTATAAATAAAATTAAATACTCTAAAATCAGAGTACATAATAACGTTTAAGATCTTTGCTATCACTAGTTTGAATTTACATAATAAAGCTTCAGTAATACGACCATTGATGTTACATTACAGAATACTCATACTGCTTTTATAACACTCAGGAAGTTGTCAATATCATTGAAATCTTCATATCTGATGCAATGTATCTGTGATGCCACAGATACTAAAATATCATAAAAGGCACAGAGGGCAGATGTTCTCATGCACCCCCAGAAAGAAAAATCAAAGCCAGGGGTAATACAAACATCAAAATGCAACAGAGCATGAAACAGCAATTTTAAAGAAATATTTTAAACATAGATTAAGAGTATTTTTTTGGTAAAATAAAAGCATGGTGCTAAAAGAGTCTTACATAGGATCGATCCCAAGTCTCTGGTACTCTGGGCTGTTGAAGAGGATTAGTTCTAAACCCCACACTTTCAAGGCATTGCTTATAACCTGCCAAAAAAGAACACTTTTCATGAGTCAGACAAGTTCAAATCTAAATTCAAGCAATGCAACCATCTTAGCTGCACTAAATAATTATACTGCTTTCATAAAACTTAGATTTCAAAACATTGCCAGGAAATCTATACTCAAAAATGCAGCTGTCATGAATCTACATGCAAGCCTAACACTCATATCTTACCTAAGGAGAAGTAACAAAACTAGGATTTAACCTAACTGTGTTAATGAGCTTACAACCTCAAACAAAGCTGTAATTTCACCTTTCACAGATACTTCATAAGTTGTCATCTCTCTACTTGCAATGCACTGCTCTGCCCTTACTTCCCCACCTCACCTCCCCACATAATCTCAATCTTTCTTCACAGTTACTGCTGGAAATTTTGTACCACTGGATTATCACAGGACCAGTCAGTTTATTGATCTAAGCACCAACTCTTTTACAATAACTCTTTAAAGCTACACGAAATAATGCTGCAAGAACCTTAAAGTTAACAATTCAAATTCATTTCAACAAGCCAACTGTGCCTCAAAGGACAAAAGAGTAGAGGGAGGAAGCAATTTTTTTCAGCTACTGAAGCAGCTCAAAGATAGCAGGATAGCCAAAGTGTTAATAGTTTCTTGCTAAAAAGAAAAACAGCCGAGCCAGCCATAAGGAAGAGAGGCTCTTAAGAGAGTCTGGAGCACTGACAAGTAGCACTGAAAGCTTGGGAGACAGCCAAAGATACCTAGAGCTCTGATCAAGACAAAAGCCTCAACTTGGTATTCAAAACTTTTTTTGTTGTTCTTCTGGTTTACGTATTTATTATTGATTACTTTTCCCCTATGGCCTTTAAAAAAACCACAAAAACACCCCCAAAAATATGCAGATCACTATGATAACCCTGTAACTATTGCCAAGGGCTTCCCAGTCTATAATTTGAGAAAGCAATCTGAATTCTGCTTTTTCACCTGCAGTCTGTGGGAGCCAAGGTCGACACCTGAAGTACCCACAAGAAACAGCTTAGAAGTCCAGCTTATTGCCAGCAGGTGTCATCTCAGTTCCTGAATCCATGTTTCTCCTATGTGTTTGAAGGCCCATGAACTGAAGAACAGCAAGTCACTGTTCTTAATGGAAAACACTCTAAACATCTGGAAGTCCAGCACTTAATCCCATTAAGCCCACAAACTGGTAACTAGATGGAAAAGTTCAATGCCATTTAAATTATATAAGAGAACATATATTGCAAAAATAGAAACGGTGTCATAAGAGAGCTGTGCTTACTTGAATTGAAAAGAATCCACTATCATCCATATTTACAGAAGGCTGCTGCTCGATGAGAAGTTGGGAGGGAGAAAAGGGAAAAAATGGTGTAAGTATAAAAGGTCAAAAATAATTGGGTTTTGAAAAGAAATCTAACTGCAGATTCTTAAAGCAACGATTTATGCCCTTGTCTTTAAGGCTGATTACAATGCTCCAAGTACACATATTAATTTAAAACTCAAACCTTTAAAGATGTTCAGTGCTTAAAGGGCAGACAGACATGGGAATTTCTGTTCCTATCTGACACTGGCTTACAAAAACAAAAGGCAAATTACTGATGCTCCTCATCATGCCTGATCTTTCTACTTGTAAGATGAAGGTAAAGTAGCTCTTTGTAGAATTATTTAAAGCTGTCCTAGTAACATTTGAAAATGCCACATCCAAGATGCATGAATGAAAAGGCCTATAAATTGAAAAAGCTTTAGCACTAGAAAATTAACTTTTTCTATCTATGCAAGAATAGCAGGTCTGTGCTAGAAAATATATTGCAGGCAGCATCAAGCAACCTCAAATGAAGATAATTTTACCTGTAAAAATGTTCTGTATTCTTCACTAGATACTCCTCCCTCTGCCATTCTCATCCTTTCTTCCTCATCCAGTTGCTGTGCAATAGAGGATAATTCAACAGGACTAAAGTATTCCCCTTGCAGCAAATTATTCAGACAGTGTTGAGCACACAATGAGCCTTCTTGCTAATAATGGAAGAGAAAAAAACAAAAAAAAAACCAAACAATGAAAAAAAAAAAAAAAGAAAAAAACCCAGGTTAGTGCAAACTGTATCTTCTTCCAAAACATCAATACATGAAAATCAAACAGTTTCAATCTCTATTTCCTAGTAACAAACATTTTCTATAACAGATACTCTCATTATTTTTTAGCTTTTCTTCCCTTCCAGATGTGGCTATTGACAATCTGCTCTCCACATTTTTGATAGGAAAGTAATTAGGAGCTGGAAGAACAGTAAAGATCCTTTTCCACATGAAATTTACATATAGGAAGTAGATAAAATAAGGCCATCCAGCACATTACAGGTAATAGAACTATAGCACCACATTTTTAAAATGTCAGCACAAATTTTGTAACAGCTAATTAACAATGTCATTCATGATTTTGGAGTACAAATTTCAAAAATCTCTGATCTGAATGAATGCAAGACAGGCTCCATCATTTTCATATGTGAGATAAAATACTGCCTCGTTAAAAAAAACACACAATGTAAACCAACCAAAGCAGTTTCCCATGAAAAGCAACCTTTTTCAACAAATAACTGCAACTCTAGGTGCAAGACAAGTAATAACAGTTTTAAAATCCTGCTTTTCACTTTTGTTTTAATCAATCTTCATTTTTATTTACATTAAGAACTCCCCTACACATGCTCTTTGTTAAAAACAAAACCCCTCAAGAACAATACAGAACACCCCTCCCTCAAGCCAGACCCACAGAAAATAAGAATACAAGAGCATGCCTTTGAAGAATACTCTTTAACATTCTATAAAAGCATCATACAAATCATATGTAGAACCCTCCCATGATCTCCCTTACGGCTGAGACCTTGAAAGTTCCCTTTACTCCAGTATCTTCCTATGACTTCATTACTCAGTTGAGGAACGAGTTATTAAAGCTACACTGGCTGCACAGCCAGGCTTCAATGGAATTCAGAAACCTCCTCCAGCTCATGCCCTTCCTGCAACAAGAAACTCAAGACTAAACACCAGCTTCTGTCCCTCTGGGACCATATTCCTGCTGCTGGTCATACGACAAAAATGTAACAGAAGAACCTGCTCAACGATCACAGGCTTCCCCATTAGAGTCATATGAAACTGGTTTAGAAACAGAGAGATAGTAAAATACCACCGAAAATTAGTTGTATTACATGCTTACATGCTAATTTCACTAAAAAGACCTTTCTGTATTTGTAGTATTATCGAAAAGTAATAAACCCTAATTTTCATATGTAAAAGTTATACACATTAATTGCCAAATGCAGAAAACAGATCCTACAGTATTTAACTGACACAAAGTTCCATTACTTTGTGCAGAGAACATTGCTTCTTTTCCGTAACCTGAAATCCCCTCATGGAAACCTTTCCTGACATAAAACGCTGCCCTGCCTTCAGTGCTTTCAATCACTTCTATCTATCAAGAAAAGGACAAACTTTTAAGATTGGGACTCCTGAAGCCCCATACTTAAATCCTACTTTCTGCAACTGTAATTTCTCTCTAAAAATGCCACATTGCTGGTTGTTTTATTAAATTTTCTTAATCGACACCATGTTTCTCATGTCTTTTTTTATCAAAATGATTGGGGAGTGCAGACTCAGGAACATGCAGCACTTCAAAGTATTCTGACAGCACTTGATAGGGGAAAAAATACCCCTTAAGAAAAAAAGACAGTAATTCAGTCAGATTTTCCCTAACATAGTAATAGAATAAAAGTATTTGGTACGCCAACTTTTTAACTGTTACTAACTTACCAGGGAGTGATACATTTCACATCTGTCAACTCACCCTTCCCCAGACTGCATAGGAACCACAAGTTACCATCATCTCGTACCTCTGAATGTATTCTGCTTTGTCACTTTAATTTCAGAAGTGTTGTTATTTAACTAGAAAGCAACTTAGTAACAAAAAGTTAATTCATACCGTGATGAGCTAGGCCATGTAAGAAAAGAGTACATTTCGTTAAACTGTTTTCAAAGCCAGACTGATTGCCACTCAGAGGCAATCACGGCTGAAATCCAACAATCTGAACAGCAGCTACTTAACACCACAACACTTGCCAAATTTTGCAACCAAAACCTACTCAGAAAGAACACTCCTCAGTTTTGACGGATTTCAGAACAACAATTTTTTAAAGGAAAGTACACAGCTATCTTATTTGACTTCTAAAGGAAGCCAATCCTAGGCATCAAAACAAAGTAACAGAACTACTGCTAACTTTAACACAATAAAGTTGAAGAGACATTGGCAAAGTGCAAGAAAAAAATCCAATTACAATTTGACCAGCATTTAAACAGGAATAGGGCATATTTGGGAACCTGGCTATATCACAGCAGTTCACAGAAGTGCTTTGCCCTCCAAAACAGGAAATACCGTTCGGCACACGGAAGCACACTATATGAACTGCGATTTCTTTAGCAGCTCTCCCACTCCCTGCTCATTACACAACCACAGCCAAGCCAGGCTCAGTGACGAGACAGGTCTGAGAGCACAGGGACAGCCCTGCCTGCCGCTGCTTATCCTCATACTCATTACTCAGCCATGTGAGCTCTCTCTCAAGAAATACAAATAGCCGCAGCCTACACCTCCCCACACTTGGGGACTGTTTCTGCAGTCCCCAAAACACAGTCCCCATGCCAAAGCGGACGCCGAGGCTCAGCCCTGACTCTCCTTTCTCTGCAGGGCTGGCAGCGTCCAGCCGGGACGGGCCATAGCCACAGGGACGGGCCACATAGGGACCGCCGCGCGAGGGCCCTGGCTCTCCCCAGAAGCAGAAGACAAGCCACCGCCGAAGGCTGGAGGGATGCCAGGGAGGGGCATTGCGGCCCAGCCCGACACAGGCCGAGCGCACGCCCGGAGCTCCGGGGGATGTCCTGCCGTCAGCGCGGGGACGGGAGGCCCAGTTACCGCCCCAGTAGCTCATCAGAGAGAACTCGCGCGTCTCCCCCGTCTCAGCAGGCCGGACGGCCACAACCGACGGCACTGTGCCCAAAGAGGAGCAGGCAGCAGGACGGGCGGTAGGATCCGCCTCACCCTCCCTCACTCACCCGCTCGTGGAAGATCGACTCCATGTTTACTGTGGCGGCCGCAGCCCCCCGCCCCACGTGACCTGTCCGGCCAATCGCAGCGCCCACCGCCTCTGGCCCGCGCGAGGCAGGCCCCCTTGGCTGCCCCCGGCCCGGCCGCCGCGCTGGCGCCCCCTGCCGGGGAGGAGGCCGGCGGGCTGAGCTGCTGCTGGCCGCGAGCGCCCCCGCGCGGCGGCCGTGCCCGCAGGGATCGACACGCGCCGCCCGTCCGCTCCTCCGCCGGACAGCCCCGCTCCGGCCCGGTACCGCTTCCCCCCCGCTCCGGCCCGGTACCGCTTCCCCCCCGCTCCGGCCCGGTGCCGCTTCCCCCCCGCTCCGGCCCCGGTGCCGCCCGCTCCTGCCTTGTGCTCACCAGCTGCCCGCCCGCCCCTTACACGCTCCCAGTCCGCTCACCAGTACTTGCTTAACCACTATTGCAAACAAGCTCACAGAGGAAATCCAAAAAGAAACTTAATCAGGTTCAGCAAAAAAAACCTGTCAACCACATTCTGGGTTTATGAAGAATTCCTTTAAAGGCTAGTTCTTGAATTAGCTACGTGGATTCCACATCATACACAACAATAAATGATACACAAGCATAAATGATTTTTGCATAGTTTATTCTATAATTCTTCCTCTCCTTTCCAGAGTAGGGAGGAAGAAAATTTTTTCAACGCTTATGGACTAATGGAATTCTTGAACACATATTAGTCATGTAATTAAATCAACTTCAAAAAATAACACTAGAAATTAAACTAGCACTGATTAATTGCAGATGTCCTTTACTGTAGTATCCTCTCAGGGTCAAAACCATTTTCCTGTTCTTTCAATATGTGAGATAAGGTGATGAATCAAACAGAAATGTCTTCCTTGTCATCATCAGCTTTTATCTCCATGTTACTTCTTCACCAGGCTTCAACTCCCTGTGCAGAAATAAAAACCAAGAAGGAAGAGACTAAAATTAGTATCTTTCTTTTTAGAATAATTATTAATAAATGTAAGTATTTATTTGTGTTAATTTATATTCAACAGTACCTTGATTTTGAGATTTATGTAAAAATTTAACTTTCCTTGTAATTGTTGTCAGTTAAAAATGCAACAAATGCATTAAGAAAAGTATCAGTGGGGTAAATTACATCAAAAGCTTTCTTTCTTACTCAAAATTAATTTAGGTGAGGCCAGAGTTGGAAAAAAAATCCACTGGCATTGATAGCACTCCTACTATCAGTTTATGCAACATGACTTTTTTCCCTCTTCTTTTCTTAACCTGATGATCTAATACAGAATTAGAACTGGCACAGATGAGTTAATGCCTGAAGTTCTCTGATGTAAATTCTTCCTGAGAAGTCACAGCCAGAAAACCCAAACTGATCAGTGCATATAATCACATAATTCATGGTTTCCATATTTCATGACCAATAGCTTGATAGCAGTTAATGATCCATTCTTTCATGAAGATAGCTCCTAAAGATTCCATTTTCAGAAGGTATTACTGATCTAAAACACTTCATGAATGCTTGATATTTTTAGGGCTTTCTTTCCTTTTTTTGGTTATGCTTATAATTGTAAAAAAGAACTGAAAAGCACTTTGAAAAATAACTATATATGTATATAAAAGGCATAATAAAGCAGACCTTTTATATAATAAGCTCTTGTTTCTGAAGGCAGACAATCTTTCATCATTCCATCTGTCCAAGTAGCATCCAATCACAAATCCTAAGGGAACAAGGATGTGAACCCAGTGTTCACGCACAGCTTGGGCGAAATTCACCATGACTGCTAGAAAGAAAAGCGTAACAGTAAGAGGTAATAATGAATCTGCACTTGGAAACTGTTGCGTGCTTGGCACCTTTACTCTCACTTACTAGGATTCTACAATGACATAATACACATGAAACCTATCAAACACTTCCTAGGAGACACTGTTCTCAAACCCATACCTGGGTTTCTTAGAAATAATACTAACTGTTGACCCTGGGAAAAAGGATTTTCTCCTAAAGCAGGAGAGAAATAGAACAACTCTTTAATTTACTCATTAAAGCAACTCTACAGAAGTTTTCTGCTCTGTAAAACATTAGAAACACTTTCATAAGCTAAACTCGTGTAGATGAACGCTTTATTACCTGTGTCAAGTCTCAGAGACAAGTTGTGTATTTAGTGGGGAACTGACAGATAAGAAAGGACATTTCTAAAATAACGAAGAACATTTCTAAAACCACAGAATGACAGAATCATTACAATTGGAATGGACCTCTGGAGATCATCCAGTCCAACCTCTCAGCCAAGGCAGGATCACCTGAAGCAGATGACACAGGAACATGTCCAGGTGGTTTTCGAATGTCTCCAGAGAGGAAGACTCCACGACCTCTCTGGGCAGCTATTCCAGTGCTCTGCCACCCTCAATTTATAGAAGTTATTCCTCGTTTTGAGGCGGAACTTCTTCTGTTTTAGTAATGGCCATTGCTCCTTGTCTTGTCGCTGGGCACCAACGAAAACAGTCTGGCACCGCCATTTGCACACATTAAAGAGATCCCCTCTCAGGCTTTTCCCTTCTCCAGACTACAGAGGCCCAGCAAACCTTTCCAACCCAATCAAAGCCTTCCAGATTAGGGAATGACACGCGACACCAGTGCAGTTTGTCACATCCAGCGGCGGGCTCAGAGCCTCAGCCGGGTCCGGCGGGCGAACACCGCCGGCGGCCACGCACCCATCACCCCCTGCGGGAGAGGCGGGAGGCGCTCCCACACACACCCCCCGCCCCGGGCCCGGCCGCTGACCCGCGACACGGCCCCGCCACCTCCCGCCTCAGCCGCCTCCGGCCTGCCCGGGACCGCAACCGCCCCTCCAGGGGCAAGAGCGCCATAAAGCCCCACGGCTGAGGGGCACTTCCGCCCGCCGCCGTGTCCCTCCCGGCCGAAGGGGTAGGGGACAGGGCGAGGCGCTCTCAGGGAGGTCTGACAGCGGTTCCGCCCCCAATGCCGCTCCCGCCCCGCACGCGACCCCGCCATTACCGCTGCTAGCGGCGCCGCCGGGATCCGCAGCGGCCGCGCCAAGGGCACCGGGAACGGGCGGGCCGGGACAGACCACGGGCCGCGCAGGAGCGGGGGAGGAGCGCCCTCCCCCCGGCGCGCTCGCAGTGGTGCCGCCCGCCACCCTTCCGCCTGCTGCCCCTCCTCCCTGTCCCCCGCAACATGGCGGCGAGCGCGGCGCGGGCTGGGGGTGGTTGAGGGTGCCAGGTATCGGCTCTTTCACATCATCTTCCTGTTCCCCTTGTTCTCCTCGCCTCGGACGGGAGTGAGCGCAGGGCTCGCCCCCGTGACGCCGTCCCCGCCTGACGAGGCTCGTCCCGTCAGGCCAGGCCCGGGCGCCGGGGCCTAGTGGGGCGCTGGAGCCCCGGAACCCCCGGCCCACCCCGCGCTGTGCCCCTGGTCGGGCAGGCCCTGGGTTTGAGGGGTCGTGGCCCTGGATGTGTCATCTCTGGGTGCCCCGATTCAGCTACGTGGAGCTGCTATTACCTGCGCTGCTCCTGGGGATCCTTTTAAAAATTATTCTTAATGTGTATAGTAGAAAATTAACTCCACCTTTTTCTAATAAGATCTGCAACAGTAGAATGTTAATGTGAATGAGACTTAATTGGTATCAAGCAGCTGTATTGAACAGTATTAACACCGTTAGCCTGCTTATTTTTAGAAATACGTGAAGCTAGATCTAAGTAAATGGAATTTTTCCTTGTGTCAGTCAATGAAACATTTTGTCGCCCATTCAGATTAATTCTTTTGGAGAGTAAACACTTGGAGAGGAAAATGACATCGATTATCAAGTTGACTACGCTCTCAGGGGTGCAGGAGGAATCTGCACTTTGCTATTTGTTGCAAGTAGATGAGTTTCGTTTTCTTTTGGACTGTGGCTGGGATGAAAACTTTTCTATGGATATTATTGATTCTCTGAGGAAGTAAGTAGTTCAGTTCATACACCATTTTTTAAAACAGGTCTTGGTCTGTCTTGAAAGTTTTCAAAATTCCACGCAGTGATATAACGTATGGTGTTGCTAAATGCAGAATTGTTCCTTTTTTTGTTTTGTTTCATGTATGTTTTACATTAAGAGAATCACTGAAACATTGCTGAAACATTTCCTGCAAAATCTTGGGATTTTTTCCTTGTCAGTCTAGTGAGTTGTGTCTCTTAACTGTAATTCTCAAGCTGTTCCGTGTTTGTTTTGGCTTGGATGATTTGTTCGTTTTTTATTGTCATAAATGTGACAAGGTTTAGGGGAGACTGGCCTTGGCTCTCAAATAATTTGGAATAGTTAACTAAGTTTTAAATGGGAGAGGAAGCCTTTGTGTATGTAGGCTGAATACAAAGCAGTTCAACTCTTGGCTCTTGTTTTAAGTTGAATAGACTGTCAGGAAAGCACCTTCTGTCAGGACACCAGCCCTGCAAAGGGGAAAAAACCCCTCCAAACCAAAATCTGTCTAGACTTTAATACTGAACTTCTGCAGGTGTACAGCAGGGAGCTGTGCTGATTGCCAAGCTAGGACTGAAATACGGAAATTTGGGAAAGAAACTGAGTTTTTTGATACTAGTTTTATAGTATTAACACACTTGTAGTGTTTGAAATCTTTTAAGTGAGGATTGTTAGGTACTAAGGATATTTTATGAAAAAGTTTTATAAAAAGTGTCTTATCAAAGAAGCAATTCAATAAAATTCCCTTTTTCATAACAGCCATCAAGAAGAATGTGTGCGCCCCACTTACTGTGCAAGGGAACAAAAAGCTATCAGTCCAGCATGTGTTTTCATTTGTTGCATGTGTTTTATGCCCTCAATTATTTTTCAATTATAATATGTAGAAAGGTTTTAGTCTGAGTTCTAATTTTATGCAACACTTTGCAAGGGAAAAAAAATGTCATTAAGAGTAATAAGATCCCCCAAACTGCTGTGCTACTTTTCTTAAATGATATGTTTGAGCTTTTCTATATTTAAAGAAATATATTTTGATTTGATCTTTATCAGTTTAAGGATT